CAGAAGAGGCAGCAGAGGGAGGAGAAGCCCCCGGCGGGGGAGGCGGCCCCCCGGCCGCGGCCCGTGTCCTTCCGGGCCAAGCCGCACGCCTGGGCGCTGCTGCGCGGGCGCAACAAGAGCTACTCGCTGGGCCACTACTCCGGGGAGAAGGCGGCGCAGAGCCTGAGCCTGGTGCTGGCGGCGGAGGTGGGCTGCTCGCTGCTGGACATGGACACGGAGGGCCAGAAGCGGGACTGCACCGTGCCGCTGTGCCGCATCCAGAGCTCCCCGGCGCGGCCCTCCGTCTTCGAGCTGGAGAAGGAGTTCCTGTCGTGAGGAGACGCCGGCCGCCTCTGCCGCCGTCCGTCCGTCTGTCTGACCGGGCGGCCGGCCGGCGGCCCCCAGAGCCGCGCTCAGCAGAGCCCCCCCCCCTCCGGTCCCGCAGCGCAGCTCGACGTTGACCGCTGCTGCCGCTCTCGCAACACAGTACCCTCACCTTTTTATTTATATATATATTTTTATAGGTAATTTAATCTGAAGAGACTTGACGTTACCGTAGCAACCAGCCAGGACATACATTCCATGAGTTTCAGAGCTGTGTGATCACACCTAGTTTTGTCTTAAAAATCATGCATGTACCTTTGAAATGTTCCAGAAAAAAAGACAAAAAAACACAAAAAAAGAACGCTATGCCTTTGTTGTAAATATTTCTCTGACTGCTCTCAGCCTGATGCTGGCAGCTCTTCGGCGAGGCTGCAGCACAGTTGGTGTTCCGGGGCCGGGTTACAGCACGGATGGCGCGTTTCCACCCGGAACGCCACCGAGATTTTACAGATGCGGGTAGAAAAACACCGACACCACTTAACGGGGCGCGAGGTCGCCTCTTTTAAAAAGCTTCCGCCATGCTTTGCTGATGTGGATTTATATTTATAGAGAGGTTTTTGGGTCATGCTCACGTCAGGGAAACCTCGCTCCAAAATGAATGAGTTTAGAATGAAGCCCCTCTGATACCAGCATTTTCTAGGACGAGGACTCTGGCCGCACGTGCCTGCCTCTTTTCTTTGTTTTCTTTTATATGGACTTTGGAACCGCAAACGTACTGTAAAACTCTGTCTTTGTTTGTGTTCATCCACTCAACGATCCAGATGTTTAGCTCAGTATAAACCTATAAGATGTTACATTTAACTGGCTGATTGATTGTGCTATCTATTTTTTCAAATCTATGCTAAACAGGCCCCTCCCCCACCCCCCAGCCAGCCAAATACTCAGTTTGAAGAGATTTTGGAGACATTTGAATAGCTGGAATGAGGCTAGTTTCCCATTTCAACTGGGTCGCCTAAGGGCCTCATTTCTCTAAACTTTTTTTTTGTTTTTCCTCCAGACCTCCTGAACTGGACGGTGTGTGTGGGGGGGGGGTGTTCGGGATACAGTTGTGCAGTCACTGTAGACTGTATCTTTAAAGGTTAAGGCAATCATGTGTATTTGATCCTTATTAACGTTGTCTTGAGTTGACGTGAGTTGGCTCAGCCATTCCTGAGTGCTACTGAGGCATTCTGCGTCCCGTGTTCCCCATCAGCCACCGAGCTGTCAGAGGTGCTACTCCAAGCCACAATTTAGGGCATCTGTAAATACGAAGCACTGCCCCTGCCCCCCCCCCCCCCCTCGCCCCACCAGTCCTCCCCAGATACCGAGCGACTCCACATTTCCAAACATTCCACTGATGCACGGGGGGACACAACGCAGTCCTGTGAAGTCAGTCCCTGGTGCCGGGCGGTCCGGCCTCCAGATGTGTAACCATGGTCCGGCCTCCAGATGTGGGACCATGGTCCCCCCCGTCTGTCTCCTGGACCAAAGCCACTAAATCAAGCTGCTGCTATGGAAGAGCAAGGAAATGGTGCTGCTGACAGACTCAGTACCCGATCGAATGAGGAGAACCCCCCCCCACACACACACACACACCCCCGGTGTCTGTCACACTGACTGTGTGTCTAGCGAGCGGCTTTTGTTATCCTTTCAGTATTGGTTATTTCATGCCCGATTGATCAAGAGTATCGAGTTTAAAAACAACCTTTTGAATAAAGTCTAAATCAGGATCTTTGTTGTGTTTTGCTTTTATTTCATCAGGATGAGCAGAAATATCCAGTCAGTTTTATTAGGGGAGTTGGGGGGGGGGGGGGTTCAGTCCCAGCTCATCACAAACAAAAGCACCAATGCCATCTCTGAAGGTAGAAAGGTCTGAGGTTTTTATTTGGAAATGGACACACGAGTCAGATATCTGGAAAACTACGTCAGAGTTTGGAGATACAAAGTCTTTCTTTTCCCTGCATCCCTGAGACAGAAATCGTTTTCACCACCAGAAAAACATTCAATAAACCCCCCCTGTTGGAACGACGCTCCTCGAGGAAACAGTTCCCTCCCAAATGGCGTGGAGGCGTCCAGGCGCAGATGTTTGCAGCTGCAGCCGTGGCTGCGGGCGGGAAGAATAAAAGAGAGGGCGATTAGAGGGGGGCGGGAAATACGAACCGGCGCGGGCCGACTTCCTGAGGTGGCACGTCTAAAAATAGGCCAGAGGGCGGGGTGGGCCGGGGCGGCCGCAGCCTCAGTGGAGACACTTCCTCCTCAGGCCAAGGCTAGCCTGACACCTGATGTGGAGCTCTTTTGTTACAGCAGAGGGGATGCCTTTCACCGGCCGGCCACACTATCTTGAGACACACACACACACGCACGCACACACGGCTACGCTCACCGGCGTGGCGGTCAGGGCGTGGTCAGGCAGGCGGGCGGGCTCGGAGCGCTGCTCTTCACGTGCCGGGGGACCAGGCTCTGGGCCCGCAGGCAGTAGCGGGCGCCGGGCCGCGGGGGGGTGGGGGGGGGGGGGGGGGGGGGGCGGTCGGGGGGGGGGGGCGCGGGGGGGGGGGGGGGGGGGGGGGGGGGGGGAAAGCCACAGGTTTACCCGCAGACATGTGGACCGGGCCAAAGTTTCCCCTCCGCTCCGTTAGATTAGCCTAGTTCTCCTTTGGCTTTTTTTTTTTCCTTTTTGCCGCTCTTCCTCTTCCACCTCTTCTCCCTTTCCTCCTTCCTCTTCTGTTTCATAATCATGATTCTGACACTGGGCCTTCAAGCCTAAATTGAAACATTTAAGGTTGCGTTTAAGGTATTTTCTTTGTCCGGCTTCTTTTCGTAGTTCCGTTTAAGACATCTGGATATTTTATGGCTGATTGGCTGAAACTGTTTTGATTACCTTTATTACAATCAGCTGTGAGCAGTACAGAAAAAACCTGCTTTCTGCAGACTCCCTCCATCAGGTCTGTTTTTCTCAAAGAGCTGGATGATTTAGGGGTCCGATTTAAGGAAAATACTTCGACTTTGAGCTGGATTCTCCCTTAAAAATGTAGAATTTCCGTACGAATATTGTGCCAAGAAGCAAAAGCAAAAAGGTAAGAAAGTTTTGATTTTACTTTGTGGAAACTATCTTGGAGACTATTAGTCTGTCAGTCCTCATATAGAAGTCCCAGCTGACGAGAAGGAACATGAAATCCCATTTTTGTTGCGTTTACAACAAATTAACATTTTCGTTACATCCTCTGAGCCGAAACCCCTCCCTCCACATGCTCAGGGATGTTGTGGTGGAGCAGCCGATGGGAACTGATGGATCTTCTTCAACCTGAAGCTCCAGTTTGGTGAACGGCTCAAACTGAACGCACTGTGTTTCGCCCGGAGTAACCTGACCTTTCACCTTTATGATGCAACAGCTCTGCTGTTTGGCCACGTGTGTTCGGCCGGGTGCTTGTATGCATTGATTGTTTGTACTACAAACTGACCTTTAGTTTTTTTTAGTTTTTATGGTTATGGTGGATGTTATGTAACGGGACGGCTACCGCACATCAGCTCGGGCTGTAAACCATCCGGTGTGCAGCATTTCTTAACACTGCATACCCAGAGGAATTAAACCAAATGAAGGATTCATCGGAGACCTGATTAATTATGTTTATTATTATTCTATTCTTTTCTATTCTATCATATTATATTCTATCATATTATGTTATATTATATTATATCATATTATATGATATCATATTATATGATATATTATATTTATTGATTACATTGATTATGCTTTGGAAAAAACATGATTTCCTGTCAAAGACCGGTAATTGTTCTGATGGAATAAGGGGAGCATGCCTACCTCCTCCCCTTCGGTGGGGGTGATAAAGACGTTGTGGTGCAGCTCGGTGCGCATCTTTCTGGCCAGCGCACGGGCCGGCTTCACGTGGACAACGATCCCCTGTTTGCTGACGCTCAGCTTCAGCCCCGGAGGACTGATTTTGGCTAAAGAAATGCAGGAAAAAAAAAAAAAAACTGAATTAATTTGCAGCCTTATGACCGCTACAGTATGGATTCAGAGTTTTTCGGGCTGTGGAAGGTCAGCTTTTTCCCCTCTGTGTTCGTGCAAAGCCCGGAGGACCGAGGGCGAACGCTCACTGTTCCAGCGCGGGCTGAACCGGGGCGAGAGGCCCCAGGCCGACCGGCCGCCGGGGGCCACCGAGCTGACCCGGGCGTAGTACCACTCCCTGGTGTCCGAGGTGACGCTGCTCAGGTCGCACTGAGGCTTGGGGATGCCCTGGCAGCTTTTGGCATCCAGCCACTGGCTCTCGCCGTAGCTGAGGGGGGAGAGACACAAACACAGACGTCGGCTTTGGGATACAGAGACTCAGTCTGAGAGCCATAAAGCCTACAGGTGGAGGCTGGGCACTAGAAGGCCTTATGCTCTGAGAGGCAGACCGGTTTTGAGTGGCTTTTTATCCATACTTGTTTACCCCAAAATCTGAACTTTTGACTTTTCACTATGTTTTCACACAAGGTGGAACCTCACTATCTCCAGATTATAAATCGTGATGAGTTTATTGATTGTGATAAGGTAAGTTCATGATGATGATACAGAGAAATCTCGTTTTATTATAATCACAAGTCACTACGATGTGATCTTCAGAAAACATCTTCAGAAAATGTCCTAAATCGACTTATCCCACCATAGAAAAAGAGTAAAGAACGCTTTAAAAAATCAAGTGCCACCAAAGCCGCCTTTGGTCTCTGTCCTGAACGGTGAACAAACAGTAAAATTCTAAAAGCTCTTTAGATGAACCGCATCTGAGTTGTTTTATGGCTAAATGGGACTGCGTGTGTGCATGGGTGAGTGTGTGTGTGTGTGTGTGTCTCACATCTTCCACTGGACATTGAACAGCAGCGAGGAGCTGGCGTTGGACGGGGTCCAGTGCAGGATGTTTCTGTAATCGGTGGAGTCAAACCTCACCCGGGCAGGGGGCTCCAGCAGCTCTGCAACACCACAACCGTCATTAAGCACCGACTCATGAGAGCATCCAAACGCCACGGGCGGCTGCCTCCAGACCGGACGTCTGTCCAGTGAGACACGGCCGGATAGAGGCTTCAAGCTTTGCAAGACCTGCTCAAACCCAAACACTGAAACCTTTTTCCATCTGACCATCTCAGGTTTGACCTTTTGCTGGGGAAAAAAAACAGACGAAACTAAAAACCTACAGTTTCTAAACTAAAATGTTTGCTATACCTTAATGCTGTCTGTAATAACACAAGACAGTCTCACAAACAAGCTGAAGACTCACAGAACCGCACACAGAGTTTTATCTCCATCCATGATCCAATCCCCTCTCTAGAGTCCAGCCTGAGCCAGCCTGGACCCCTGAATTGCTCCCACAGTAACCCCCGCTTCTCTTCTCCTCAACTCCAAGCCAAAACGGACTCCTGCAAACACTAAAGCTCTGGCAATGTCCACCCAAACACCCCGCAGCTGCCCCACAAACGGCTGAAATCAATGCTCCTTTCTTCCTGAGCTCATTTGCTGATGAACTGTGGAGAAGGGCTGAGCCGGTCCAGTGGTGGGTGGGTGTGGGTGGGGGTCTTGGGTTGCCTACCTTGTGCTGTCCCCCGGATGCTCAGGCTCCCCAGCAGCGCGGCTCCCAGCAGCAGGCGGCTCATGGTGCTGAGGCTGAGGGTGGAGGCAGGTGTGGAGCCGTCAGGAGCCCCCGCCGCCTTTAAAGCCCCGCCGACTTCCCCCTTCTAAATGCCACGGGCGCGTAACGGGACGCGGAGCCCGGCTCCAGCCTCGTGGTACCTCTTCTTTGTTCCAGTTTTAGACCGGCTAGCCTTGTTGTTCCCAAACGCGATGACGAGTCCATCCATCGGCTGCGCGCCGCCGGCTGGCCTCGACTCCACAGAGTCGTCACGTGCTCTCTGGTGGACGCTCGACTTCAAGGCTTTTCTCAAGCCTGCGTCATTTCCACGGAGAGATCAGGGACGCGAAGCACGCCGTCCTTGCACTGATGTGGAAACGGCAAATCCAAGACAATGTGGCTTAGTTTGCATAGCTGTATTTATTTATTTATCCATTATCCTAACTGCTTATTATAATTTCTGGCTTAGAGGGTGACCTAACCCAGAAATCAGGGCCACACAGAGATACACAAGGACAAACAACCACCCACACTCCTAAGGTGAATTTGGAATGTCCAATCAGCCTAATAGTCAGGTTTTTGGACGGTGGGATATGGAGTTAGTTTAATTAAACTAACTCCATAGTGGGAGGAAGCCGGAGAGAACCCGCGCAGACACAGGGAGACTGGAACCCAGAACTTTCTTGCTGTGAGGCGATGACGCGAACCACTTTTAGATCATGAAAAAAGTGTGGGTTTTTGTCACATTTTTGTAGTGATCTGTTCCCTTAAAGTTTAGAAGAAGTTCCACACAGAGCCGCTTCCAGTCCATCCAGCTGGAAGTGCCTGTTACTGGTACCACTGGGAAGCCTTTACTGGCAGCATCACACATGAGCTGGAAACATGTTACATAATGAGCCTGTTATATCAGTGTGACGCAGAGTGCTTTATCACACCTGATTCACCTCTTATCTGCCACTTCATGTTTCCACTTGGGTTAATGATTGATTATGTTGATAATGGATCTATAAAGGAGATATTAATAGCTTCTAAATATACATTGCTACTGTAACACCCCTCAGAGCATTAATCTGAATCCCATTTGTGTAAATAACTCTTTATATTTGACCTCTCCTTGTATTTTTGGCCTCTGACAAACTTTTCTCTCCTCACACAGAACATTAGAAGTCACCGAGGACATTTTTATCTAAAATGCCCTGAAAATTTTTTTTTTTTTTTTTCAAAGAGTTGTAGTAAAAAGGGACATCAGGCTGTACGCTAATTTGAGTCCATTTAAAGGGCTCCTCGAAATTCAGCGTTATCTGATCAGACCAGTGGAGCCAACCAATAAGAAGAGACGCTGCCTTTTTTGGCAGGGTGGCAGTCTCCATAGCTTCTGTTTTTACAGGATATCTGAGGAAATGGCATTTTATTAGAAGGGTTACCAATGAGCCAACTGTTGTGACGGGTCTCTAACTGTGGTTTACAAAAAATGGACCTGATCCACAGGCAGAAATTAAGGCGTGCAAAGGTTCGATCACATTTTTAGGTGGACAGAAACTTTTTTTAATTCACATTCTTAGTGGCAATTGAGAAGGTTCAGTTAACCTAACATGCATGTTTCTGGATGGTGGGAGGAAGCTGCAGAACCAACACAGACACAGGAGAAAACTAACTCTACACAGAAGGGCCCCTGTCTGGCCTCTGGTCCACAGAAAGGCCCCCGGTCCACAGAAGGGCCATGGTCACTGGGATTTGAACCAATAACCCTCATGCTGAGGGGGTGGTACAGGAAACAAAAGTCCAAAATAACAGCTGAAAAGCTTTGTGTGCTGTGCACGGAGTCAGAACGTCCTTAAAGCTACATCCTTACAAAATGGTAAAAAGCTCAAATTCAATTCAATTTTATTTAGCGCCAAATCCCAACAACAGTTATCTGACAGCGCTAATCAAACAGAGCAGGTCAGACGGGACTCTGAAGCCCAACGACTCCCATCTTCTCACTCTATGCCGAATCCAGCTACGCCAACATATTAAAGATTGTCATAAAGCCGTTAGTTATTGTCTACAACTTTCTTTTTAGGGGATTTTTACACAAACATGTATCAAAAAACGCAAAAATGTATAATGTATTTAAAAGAGATTAAGTCCGGTAAATATGGACAATTTTTACTGAGTCATTCAGTTTACAGAACTTGGGAGGCGGGTGTGACCTGGAGCAGCTTACCAGAAATCCACTCTGAAAATCAGATCAGCTGAAGACTCGCACACAAAACAGCCGGAACTGGAACAAAAACAAAATAAAAAAACTAGGCCTCCCTACCCACACATGTAGTAAAGAGGAAGGAAACCAACAGGTTCACAAAAGATGTGCACACGGTCACAAATGATTGACTCGGAGGAAGGAACACACAGGATGGCTCAAATGTCATGAAACATCATTATTAGGGCTGCTTCTTCCCTTAAAACTAAAAGCATGTGACAGAAGCAGATGCGGCCAAATTTCAATAGAGCCGCAGGTAAGCAGTAAGCTGGATGCTCAGTGTCACTGAAATGCCAACTTCCCCGCATGACTGGGAGGATTTTAAACAGGACGCCGACGACTGAAACGGAACACGAGACAGAAGCTTTTATTTGCACTTGGTTTATTGGCATGACACAAATGCAAAGAGAAAAAGTAATGACAAATTCACAACAAAAAACCATTACCTTAACCAAAGAGCTGCGGCTCAGCAGCAAAGCCCCTCAGTCCCGGTGTCCCGTAAGGCCTGAACGGGACACCGTTCGGCCGCCTCTGATTTGGGTGAGCTCTGTTTTTCAGACGGGGAAATCAGAGCTTGTATTTAGGCGACTGTAACGGCTTCCATTTCTTTTCCTCGCCTCAAAACCGCAGGCGTTTTAGCTCTGCGGTCACTTGCTCGTCGGATGTTTTACCGAGTTAGTCTCTCGTCCTGAGACTTTTTCAGGCTGCTGGCGTTTCTCCTCCCCTCACTTCGGGTATTTCATCAGTTACAGCCCAAGGTGCTTAAGTTGAATCAGTTAGACTGAATAAAAACACAAACTAAAGACAATGTCGCAGCTCCTCCCCGCTGTAAATAATAAGACATAATCTGAAAAGCAGACGTCTTCTGTTTATGCTGCAAGGCTAAAATGGAAATGGTGTGGCCAGCAGAAATGTATTTACATCAAACATTTTTTAAAAACATGTCAGCAGGCAAGGATTTTGAGCTCCAACCCACACCAAACTACTTAATATTCAATTCTAAGTACTAATGCTTTACAAGGCTGTGCTGACATTGAACTCAAAACAACCAATTGATTTTCTTTCAAACTCTCACGTTTGAAAAGAATTCCTTAACAGCAGCTTAGAGAAATGTAACATTGTCACATCTCTGTGACTTTAAAGTGCCAAAAGCTTTAAGGCAGATTAGGATGGGGGGCATTTAGTTAAGAGAGTAAGTGCATCCACAGGACAGCAAAATGAAAAGTGGACACTGAAGTCATCCTGAGCCGTTTCTGAGGGAGCAGGTGTCACAGCCAGCTCCTGGAAGGACAAAGGACTCATTTGGACATTTGGGGAACAAGGTGCTGGACGCGTGTACGCTGTGGAAAATGATCGGCTTTTTTTTCCCCCCTTTTGTTTTTAAAGCGAAACAGGAGCCTCAGCCACGGCTTCCCTCGTGCCGTTCCTCAGGTTCCAAAACATCCAACACGGCACGCGACTCATAACCGGAGGAGCACGCCTCGGGGCACGCTGGCTCCTCCTCCTCCTCCAGGTTGCTGCCTGGCATGTAGGGCGGATTCTGGCCGCTCGGGCGCGGCTGCTCCGGGTTCTGTGGCGGGACCTGGAGGGGCATGCGGTGCTCATTCTCGGCGGATCCGTTCGGAGGAAGAGGGGGAGATTCGGGTCCGGAGTCCGACTCGGGCGTGGGCAGCAGGGGTCTGTCCACCGTCACGGAGGAGAACGAGTTCTGATGCGACGGCATGGGCCCCCGCTGCGCCGGCGCTCCGCTCTGCTGGCAAACCCAACAGAAAACAGCCCCATGAGCACCGAAAAACATTTTTAAAAAACCACGACTTACTCCGGTGAGGAGGGAGGTCAGGGCGGGCGGGGCGAACACACCATGAATTTGGGCAGGGGAGTTGAGGGTCTGGTCACTTTGCAGAAAACCATGAGGAGAACGGCAGCCGCCACTGCCACCACGGCCAGGAGGCCCACCGAGACGTAGACGTGAGTGTGATCTGAAACAGGAGGCAACCTTCATTTCCAGACACGGTGGCCTGAGCTAAGTGAAGAGCTACTGAGCCCGGGCCACATCGGCCGGACCCATATCATTTCAAAATGTTCCCCATTCAGAGATTTTTCACACAAAGACAACAACAAAAATAACCAGATAAACAGGCGGAGTTTTGCTCACCTGCTGGTTTGGGAGGCTTGGTGCAGTAACTGTGTTTGGGACTGATTAGCATCTTCTCCAGCTCTCCACTGAACTTCAGACAGTGCTCGTGCTGCTCTGGATCCACCGGCAGAGAGCCGTTACACAGTCTCTCTTCACACAGGAGGCCGTGCTGCTTCTCCTCCTGCGCACAGAGGCTCGTGAAGGTCAGGTGAGGCACGCTGAAGTCGGCGTCGGCACAAAGCAACAATTGAGAGCGGCCAGAGACATAAAAACGGGAGGCAGGAGGCTAACCTTTCCCAGAGTGATGACATCATACAGGAACTCTCTGAGGGTTTCCTTTGGCTGTTTCCTCCACCGGGATTTTGTGTGCGCCTTTCTGCATTGGGACGGCCTTCGTTGGTACACCAGCCAGGGATGCTCGAAGCTGAACAGGACTCTGTCCTGCGATTCTGAGGAGAGGCTAACAGGCGGCAGGTCCAGATAACCTGGAACCGTAGACACACTGTTGAATCTCTGACCAGGGGGGTAAACCTTTTTTAAAACGTATAAAATTGGAAGCTAAAGACACAAATATAAGATGCAAGTAAGTAAATCCCTATACTAAGCTTCTGATCTACTAGTCTTTTTTATTTTATTTTTTGGTGGTGGTGGCCTAACAGAAATTTCCAGCACATTTAAACTGGACTGCAGTCAGTATTTAAGGCATTCATGGTTATATGAGTCATCTGGACTTTACACAACACTGACATTTCATCTCAGTGGTCACTGTGGGCTTACTGGAAAACACTTTGACTGATACTCACATTTCTGGCCCAGTGGGGATTTATGGAAGTAGCTGAATATGAGTCCCTTCGGAGGCGAGGCCTCGGATTCATTCAGACCAATCACAGCTGTCACTTTGAGGGAGTACGTTGTTCCCGGATCCGAAAGAAAGGAAATGTCGGCTTCTAAGGAGGGCTGGTCCACCCAAATTGTATCGTTGCACCTGGAGAAAAAAAACAACTCTAATCACTACAGTCAAATACTTTTAGTGTCAGAATGAGTCGATAATGTTTTACAACACTCTGATGGAGCTATAAAAAAATGACTGCATAAATTATAACCCTGCTATATGTAACCCAGTTGACAAAAACATATTGACCATTTGTTTCCCAAATGATCCATACAGGGCTGGCCAACCGGCGTCTCTTTGCCCCGTTCCGCGCGGCTCTTGCGTTGATATTGTAGTTTCACTTCACTGGAGCTAAACGCTGTATTTTTGTCCAATGCGCATGTGCGTTGAATGGTGTAAAATAGTGTAAGAGTTTATAATTGTTGGTTGAACTTAATGGCAAGCTGTTGTGCCTTATATGCCAGAGATCCCACTAAGTAACATGGATAGTCAAAGGAAAAAGGAGCTGTAAATGATTAGATTTTAGTTTGAGGCCTAAGTTAAACTGTGTGAGACGGTACACACCATTTTCATTGTTGACAAATGACTGGCCTGTGGTCTTTGTAGTGTAGGAGTCCATTTCTGTCATTATCACCTCGGTGTGTGAAATTTACAATAAATCTGGGTGAGCAAAGGTGTGTGTATGTGTGTGTTTGTGAGGAAGGGATGGGGTGATGTCCATGTGTGCCCATGTGTATGTTGTGGCCGTTTGTGGTAACTTCATACTTCTGAACTCATACAGCTAAAATCCTGCATAAATGAGTGGGGTAACATCTTACAGAGTAGTAATAAAGACGGCCGTACCCCTTCAGTCCAATGTCCGAGCGTATGTCCACTCTGAATCGGAGCCCGGGCCTGATGTCGTCATAACCCCACGTCAGGGTGTTGTTAAAGTTGTAACACTGAAGGGACACGTTAGCTGGGGCCGCCACTGCGGAGGCACAAAGCACAAGCTTCAGACTGGAAACATACTGAAGATAAAATGGAGTAACAGAGGGGGAAAAAAAAAAGTAGCGGCTGAGTTCGAAGGCTGCAGTTGCCGTCACCGCCACTAGAGGGCAGAGTGAAGCTCCACCTGAGGTGAGCTGAGGCAAACCACAAAGGAAGAGACTTTAATATCTTTACATGGGTTACTGAAAAACAGTTGTTTTTTTTGCACAATCTCTGCTTCGTAACGTTCACATACCGCATACTTTAGGCAACTTCCTAACATTTTCTTGGTGGTTTAACTTCCCTAAAATCCAAAGCAGCAAAGAGAAAAAAGAAATTGTACAGAATTGTGCAGCTCAACATTAAATAGTGCAGGGCTTGAGCATGTTCCCGCATGCCTCTCCGGAGATGAGCGCCCATCGTTTGCCTGAGGACAAACTGGGACAGGGAGCCTGCATTTGTCTGTGAAACTGGACTTTGGTTGGTTTCAGTAAATTCCGAAAGTACATTACCAAACAAGCCCTTGCGCGGGTGAGTCACACGCTTTGTCAAGAGGCCGTGATTAAACAAAAAGTACGAAGACATTGCAGTTCACAGGCGTGCGCACGTGATCGCGCCCATTCAGATGTTCCGGGAACACCTGAAAGCGAAAACACAGACGGCGTCTCGAACACTCTGAAGAAGTGACAACCACAACAGTAAAGCTGGTTCCTGAGGGGTGTCAACCGCAACCCCCACACAAACACACACACACACCCCTATTTTAACACCATCGTAATCCAAAGGGCCCAAACCAAACTACAGGCAGCAGCATCACAACACACAACCTCCTGTGAACAAACAACACTTGGACTGATTCAGCAGAAATGCTTTGGTTTGTTACTACAGAGAGTTTGGCAGCTCCGTATTAAGAGGTAGAGAAAAAGCAGCAGCGAGCAGACGTGGTTGAACCAACGAAGCACAAACATCTCGAAAAAAAAGCAGGAAGAGAAAGCAGATTGCATCTGTCGGCAGGGCAAAAAAAACGCCGCCTCAGCAGCTTAAAGTTTCTTTGTTGCTGTGTGTGTGTGTGTTCTCCTCCTTGTTATTCTAGTCACTTAACTTATTTCTAATTCGTACGAAAAAGAGGCAAATGAATGGAAAGCCTTTTTCTCCTGCTTCAGCTGAAAGTGAGGCCCGGCTCACACTCCAACCAGCGACGGGCCTAGCGGGCCTTCCTGTGAAGGACCGGCCATGTTTAGCTCACGGCCATCAATCGGAGAGCGTTTTCACATCAGCGTCCTTTTGTGAAAAATCTGCCATTTGCTGAACTGGACAGAGGGACCCCTCTACCTCTGTCCGACAGGATGTTGAGTTATGACTCTCTTCTCCAAGCCTCTCGTGCAACAAAAGGTGTAGAGCAAAGGTTTATTTTCAAGAAAAGCCCCACTCATAAGCACCACAGCGTGCCGTGACTCACCGACTGCTTTGCGCCACACAACAGACACTCCCCACAGGGCAAAGCAAACCGGTGGCCTTGCACTTCTGTTCTGGACACTCACAACCTCCCACCGCCCAGTCAGGGCGTCTGAAGGCCACACCTGACCCCCGACGGCTCCACAGCTTGGGGTTGCGGTCCTATAAAACCTGCAGAGCGTACAGAGCTCACACCGCTCGCGGCTGCGGTCAGAGGGCCTGAAAACACACTCCTGCTGCAGACCACAGGCTCGTTTCCTCTTCTGGCTTTCGGTCCTGAGCTCGGTTCAATCTGAACCGAGCTCGGGGGGACTTTTCTTGGGCCAGACCGTGTTCAGGACCATTTCACCAATGACGAAAAATAACTCAATAACGTGGGAGCTCGGATCAAACCTGGAGGTGCTCTTAAAGCCGCCCTGATGGATAACGTTCATCATGATTCAAAAGGGAGGGTTGCTTGTTCTTCCACTAAATGGAGAACAATGCTTTGCGGACAGATGTCGAAATGAGTCAAATTCACTCTGCAGACAGTAAGCAGAAGCTTTTCTGTCTGGGAAAAAGCCAAAGAAGCCCAGTGCCGAAAGGCTGAGCTGGTGACATCATCCATTATGGCAGCAGCCTGAGCAGAGGATCGATCCGGCCTAAGTGGATAGGGAATGTTTCTTCTAACCGACACCGAGCAGCAAAATGTCCCCGGGTCTCCACTGACGGGAGCCCTTAGGACAGGCATGGTTTTAAGAAGGATTTCAATTCCCCTTCTGCGGCACATTCAGCTAAACGTGCTGGCTGTGCTGGACAGCTACAGCCGACGATGCATCGGAGGGGAACCTGAAAAAGAGCCATTTTAAAGTCAACAGACTCGGGTTCAACAAATCCCTGCTGGCGTCCAAAAAAACGCGCTTGAATGTGAGGAAACGATTTCCATCTCAGTCTGCTGCACCATAGCATGATATCGCTTTTTTTTCTGTTGATGTTTGATGAGACAATGCAAGCTCTAAAATTTCCAGAGGAAGGAAACCGGAACTTCTGGCCTAGTCGAAAGCATAGCTGATTCATCCTTTTATATGATCAGAATTTTAAAATGATTTCTAAGGCCACTTGGATGAGCAGTGGGATAAAAAAGGAGCCTGTACTAAAATGTTAATACATGAAGTAAGCTCTTCATGTACGACTGACACAGATATAAAGACAGAGACCGGAAAGCTCTTCACGGTCTGTCTGTTTTGACCCCACATACCCACATCACACCAACAAGCTTAAAATGACAAATCTATCTCTTCTTAAGGCCCAAGTCTGTAAAATGGCATCCAAAGACCAAGATGCAGTCTTGATATTTTTAAAATAAAACTAAAGACAAGCGTCAACAGATCCTGGATTGTGCCTCTGGGTTCTCTGTGGGTCTGACCCAGGAAGCATTTTCCCACTACAAAAGGACACAAGCAGACCCAGCCCACGCAAACAAGCTCCCACAGCACACCACATCTGCTGGTGATGGGGGCTCAGTGCTCCATGGGATTTCCTGGGGGTATGCAGGTGGACCTGAACGTGTCTCCCATCCTCTGCCACACACGTTGAACGTGCCTGCACCTTCCTCTAAACAAAATCTGAGAGCACATGCGAGCAGAAAGTTGGGTAATACTGAAAACAATAAAAGAGGAAATGGAGGAGGGAAAAAATTGACAAAATCTTTACGAGCAGGATTCTTGAGTGGCTCGTTTCTGCAAACCCTGCGAGGAAAATGATCCCGAGGTCCAAACTGGTTATTAGCCCACACAAAAACGCAGCTCAATTCATCCTTTTTCCACACGATGGCAAGAAAAATAGAAGCTAAGACTCGATTAATCTTTGCAATGGCGCATAAACAATTCGAGAAGGAGTTTAATTCAGTTGTTTAATGTAATTGAAACCTGCTCGGTCTAAATAACCCAACAATGCTATGCTAGCCTCCTCCGGGATTCACCGAATTTCCCGAGACAGGACACCTCCCACTCGTCACCTTCTCCTACAGTAACATAATATACGTTTAAATTAACATTAAAACCGCATGAAGAGGAATAAATATCCCTGGGAATTGTACAAAACATAAATTTGAAAAAAAGATACACTAAAAAGAAGTTGTTCGCTAACTCACCGTTGGCCAACAGACCCTTTATACAAAGGGAAAACAGGAAAAGAGGAGATAGTCGAGCCAAATCCATGCTGGGCAGAGCGGGTTTTCTCTGACTTAGGGGGGAAAGGACAGCTCTCTGACGGCGTGTTGTTGTGTTCCGGCCGTCACTGCCCGCCTGGCTCACCAAACCCAGCTCACAGCTCCGTTAGCGTGGCTTCTCCGGAGCTCAGGATATGCCCAACACCGAGGCAGCGTTTCCCAAATCATGTTATTCATCACTTCCGGATATACGGCGTTCAAGGCCCGCTCGTCTGTAGGATTTTCGATGCACGAGAACAAATGGCTGCTCTGAAAAGGTTTGGTATACTTTGCGTAAATGTTTTTACACTTTGAAAATAACGTTTTTATATATATTTTTTATTCAGTTGAATCATTTCTTTGTGGCCCAATTCGCCACTTTTGGCTCTACTGAACACTAAGCATTTGTGATCCGGGACCATTCAAAGAGGGAATCTGCACGAAACCATATGCAAAATTTAAGAGGACATTGCCTATTAACAAAATCCGATCTAAGTTAATTGGATATCTTCATATGGACAAGTGTTTCTACCTTTTATAATTTATTATGTCCTTTTCCCATAAACCTTTGTTATTCTCATAGTACTCCTTGAATTACATTAATCATTATTATTGTAAAATCATTCAAGTTTAAAAGTACAGGTGACTCATAATATGGTGAAGATACCGTATTAATATATTTTCACTTGTCTAAAGAAAATATATTAATGCTTGAATAAATATGGCAGCAGAAGAACTGTTTATGCTTGAGGATAAAGTCTTCAGGGTGTGGCAAAAGTCACATTGCATCTCGCAAGTCAGACTTTTCATCGTTAATTTTGGGTTTAGTCCACATTTAGGAATGTCCGGACGAACATGAATGCACCATAGGCTGTCACACGCTCATACAACTTTAACTGGAAATTGCAAAATATTTACTTCTCGTGTATGCAGCGGTCAGTGTACGCAAGGGAGTAGAAAAAGGGAGGACAAGTAATTCTTCATTCACAAAGAATTTAAAGGAGAGTGGATGTGGTGGGATGTTTGTGTTAGATATCTTAGCATTGCTCACAGAGAGCTGTGTGCTGAACTCTCCTACATGCACATCTCTCTCAACCAGATAATTTAAAAGTTCATTGCCTACTTTTTTCCACACTTTTCCTCACAGAGGTTGACTTTTTAGATGATTTAAAAGCGTTGGGGTCCACAAGCCTGTTTCAAACAGACAGCCTTTGGTTTAATCCGGTCCTTGAACTCCACAGCAGCTTCCTCTGAGGAACACTTCCCCCATCCTGACGTCAGCTGGATGTGAGAGTTTTCTCCCCATCCCGGCGCTCAACTGGCATTTACACATCAGCTCCTCAGCAGGACTTTTAGGGTAAGTTTCAAACCAGGACGACTGGCTAACCTTTCTTGAGGGATCCGTACCCTCATGTGAGCTGGTGTTGTGCTCTTCAGCTGTGTGGTTCTGTTCTGTTGTAACTCTGTGAGCGGATCTGAAAGCCAAGCCTGCTGTTCTCATATTACATGACATAACTTGGCATTCCTGAGTATGTTATGTAATTTTCACATTTTGGAAAAACATATTTAGACAATTCTGAACTCAGACAGACTTTAAAAAAACAAACTTCTGTGTGCATTGTAGAGGGGACCTAGGAGTGCTTTTAATGACAGCCTAACAAGCTTCATCGCTGGCTCATAAAGAGACTGCATGGTCTGACGTTCGACTCATTTTAAGCCCATGAATCACTGGAAAACCAGATATTTGGACTCTCTCTAATGTTTACGTAATCGTCGGAAAGTCTGAATGTTGCTGGACACAGAAATGAAGGGACATTCAGCCTTAAGATGCGCAGCAAGATGGGCTGCCTGGATATTCTGTGTGAGAGAGAACAATACTGGGACCTAAACACGACACACTTTACAGATTCACTAACATTTCCTCTCATCAGCCGGTTTATATACAAAATATTTTCCAGGGCTGCTCGCAGTCTGAGGCTCTGGTGACTGTCTCTAGGGGTGCTGTCATCAGAAGATCGGTGTGATTAACTTCTCATCTTCAATGGACTTTTTGTTTCAAAATTTGCTTAATATCACAGTTTTGGAGGCAAACTGCAGCAGTTTGGAGGAAACAGTTTGGGCTGTTTAATGTGTTGTTGCCGTTTCATTGTCGTCTTAGCTTGAGGCATGAAGGTTTGAGGCGTGTGGTTTCACCCCGTTTTCAGAGGTCTCGGCTTGGTTGGGGATAATGTTGCACTCCTGACGCCAATTCTGACCGAGTTAGAAGGATAACATTTGATTTGGTGGGACCGTTGTTTTTACACTGTTGGGGTTTTTGGGGGGAGAAGATGTAATGTGATGCTGTTATTGTGGATTCTCTTTGGGTACTTTTACATCAGTAAAATCACCTCAAGTTTCAAAGACTTTGTTCTTTTATGGGTCTTCAAGTATCTAACAAACAGTAAAAAAAAAAGCCAAATCTTTTTGGTTTGTTGTTAATCTAAAACAGACAGTTCACAGGTCCCTGGTGACAACTGGGAAACCTTAGTTTGAGTTACGTAAAGTACATTATTTTAAAATGTTTTCCCTTGTTCACTTTCAGTGTCGGTGCACTCGCCTGGTTAAGTTTCTCTTTTTTAAAACTTGAATCCTTTTTCTGTCCAGAATCCTTGAGGTAATGGGTTCTGTGGTAGAAGTGCTGACGTACCAGACATTGAACGCCACTTTTAAAACTGACCAGGTCAAAAGATGCAGATTAAGTCACTCAGTGCGCCTTCTTTATGTCTGGTTTCTGACTGGAAACCGTGGCACAGAAGTCTGAGATAATGTGAAGAACATCTAATTTTAAGTGTGATGTTTTTTAGATGTTTTAGTAATCTCATTTTCTGATTGGTCATCTGATTTAGTAGTTTTTGAGGCAACCATCGATGCCAAGTCTGACGTGTTGGTCCCTGTCAGTGCTACATTTACATTTCCTGGGTAGTGCATTTGAATCTACAATAGATTTATTCACTTTTCCGCAGGACCCCGACATTCTCGTGTCCTCTGAGGCCAAATGAAAAACGTGGAGGGAGAGCCCACGTCTGCAGGGTGGGACAGGTCAGTCTCATGATTTTAAGTCTTTAAAATGTAAACGTTTTGAAATATTAATCACACAATATAAAGATGGTTAAAATTTCAATAACAAGCACGTCCTCTTAATCCAGAAAAAGGTTCTTCAAAAGAAAAGAACATTCTCACCGTTCTCACCAACGGGGGGGCTGGAGCCCATCCCGGCTGACGACGGGCGAGAGGCGGGGTACACACAGGGGCACACATTCTTGAACTCTTAAAAAATAATTTGATTTAGTTCAAATTTTGATTTAGTCAGCCACCAGAAAAAAAAAAAATGTTAATGTTACAGATTTTTTATTAGACTGAGACAGAGGAATAATTGTTTTGTTTTTTAAACTTGCATTTTTACTGGACCTGCACATTTACCATGCCATCAAATACCACTGAAACCAATCAATTTAATTCAAGGTTAAGAAAAGCCTCAAAATTTGGACTCAGCCTCGACAGTCTGAGCACTGTCTTCACATTTCCCTACATGGGATAAACATCGAGCTGAACTGACCCAGAACATTTGCGGAAAAACACAGCAAGTTACAGTAAACATAACGATTGTTCTATGCAGCTAAAGGTCAGCGGAAAAATGTTGTGGTCAACGCTGTCCAGCCTTCAAAATTAGACAGGGAGGCATGTTCCTGCTATGATATCTCTGCCAAACCAGCAAACCTACCCAGATATTTAAACCACCAAGCTATCAAAACAGTGTTTTCTCTGGAATCCAAAAGCAGTCTCCTCAGTTATAACATCCTGATTGTGTATGTGTGTGTGTGTGTGTGTGTGAGAAAGAGAGAGAGAGCAAGAGGAAGAGAAATTCAATAAGTGCCTCCAGTGCCAAACACGCACACGGTTAGGGAAGAACACACCCACCACAGAGGCTTTGACTGTGATCTAAACCAGCTGTACTAATGTCCAGTGACCCTTTTTATTCAAGGTATGCAAAGAAAATTCTTAATGGACGTGAAAATGCAGAGGGGGCACGCTTGGAAGCATAATCCTCAAATTTCCAGCAGCAAGACTCTGACGTCTAATGTTCTGAGCTGGGAGTGGTTTGTTTGGATCCCAGCTCTTTGTTTTCACTGTAAGGCTCATTTCACCCACACGTACGGGAATTTTATGCTTCAGGGTAACTGGACTTTAATGTGTTGTTGGGGTCACAACTAGCACATGTGGGGCTGTTTTGACTTAATGATCCTTTAAGGTTCAGCTGTATCACTTCCGACATTTTCATCACTTCCTCTCTAAATATGTGAGCCTATTTGAGTATGTAGACCTAATGTGAAAAGAAGACATTTTCCACTGTGATTTTGTCCCATTTTGAAGCTTTTTAAATAGCACCTTAAATGTTTAAAAATTAAGTTATTGTCCTGATTGCTCCTGCTAGAAATACCAACTTTCCATTTTTTTCCCCCTCCTTGTTGACGTTGAAAGGCCAAATAATGGTAAAAGCAGGGAATGGATGGCGCAAGAAACATGAAGATGGAGTGTTGCAAAGCAGAACGCTGTTGTGTTCATGTTCAGGTCCTCTACTTAAAGGGGAATCCCACAAGTTTTTGTATTTATTTTCACTTTCTTATTCTCATCTCACGTGTTTTAGGTCACAAGCTAGGGACTGAAAGTGTGACTAAAAGGTGATTTTCTGCTGATAGTGCTTTGGAGCTTTATTACCTTCTGTTATCTTGAGTTTTTATTGTGCAACATGTAGAACTTGATGGCTTTTGGATCCGGGTATGATACAATGTGTGATGGCTGAAACGGTGCGGACACTAAGTGTTCACTCAGAATGTGTTTTTTAGCTCAGCACACGTCCCCTGCCAAGATTGTGTTCCTTTTTTCATATGACTGAAAACATGACACCCCCCCCCCCCCGCCCCACACCATTTAACATCCACATAAAGCCGTTTTTTAAAGAGCAATGACTCACCCATAAATGAACACCAAACGCCGCCAGCAAGGTGTCAGGTAGGATTACAAAAAGAGAGCAAACCTTTCTTTGAAAGGGGATTTTTGCCGAGCAGAGGGAAGCAGGTAGCTGGTGTTCTGAAAATATTTCAGGTCAGGAGCTCAGGACGTGATCCTTTTGTTTTGTTTACTTCTCCCATCATGATCTAGGATACACTTTCTGGATAAAGTTAAACATTATTTGCCTGAACAAAACCAGATTAACTGGTTTAAGAATGACCACTGGAGTGTTTTTTGGAGCAAAGAGCAAACAGTTCAAAGTAGTACCATTCAACATGGTGCTCATGCCTTCACCCTTTTTTGTTTGTATCCATTTAAGCGGCAGATGTATATAGGATGAGATGAAAATTGAGTACAGTGGAGTCGGAAACCACCACAGAAATGTGTTCATTTGACAGAAAGCCCTGACACTCCAAAGCTGTGGGTGGAAGGCAGATATCAGGAAAAAAAGATTTTACGATTACCTCCGCAAAGTCTGGATTTCAGCCCTGTTTATAATATATGCCTGATGTTTGAGTTCAATCCAGGAAACTATCAAATTGAAGCAACTCTCCTTGAAAAGTAGCCAAATAAATAAGCAGGGAATTCGAGTTTGTTGATAGCTGATACTAACTAAAGTTCCAGGTCAAGGTAAGACTTTAAATCAAGTATTAGATATACTTTATTTGAGCTTTTGAGCCTGTATTCATGATTTATTTTTGTACCCTGTGCAGATGAAAAATACTATATTTGAAAAATGACACCAGATTTTTGCTTGATTCACTAAAGCTGACATCCATACAGCTGAAATAAATATTTTTTGTCAAGGTTAAACTTGATAAAGGTATGCATGTGAGTGTATGTAAACTTCCAACTAAAACTAGAACTGGTGAGCACAGTCCTGTTGAAAACAGGCCAGCCAGCCTCACACCACAGCAGGAAGCCTGGACTAATGATGATAAAAATCTGCCTGTCGGCACCACAACTGCCATCCTATCAGTATCCCGTATGGACTTGAAGGTTTTGGCTGATAGAACACAAGGCTGTTTATACTCTCACCACGGACAAATGTCAGTAGAAGGAGCTGCCAAGAAGAAGCCACTGAAAAAGAGCAAAAGCCAGCCTCAGTCTATCAGACGGGACTGAAAAGAGGCTGTGAAACTCAACTGTGAAAACCGAGACGTTTCCAAAAAAACGTCCGCACTCACTCTCGGCCACACATGGAGCTCGCTTTTGTATTCACAGCTGTGGATGGCTCAAGAAAACTATTTTATCCTCATTAAATGTTCAGCTTCTTTGTGATTTCTGAATTTGGGTTCTAATTTTGGGTCTTGTTAGTCCAAACAACAGGACAATGTAAAATGCAACTTTAGACTTATATGAAGATTCAAATAAAAAAGGGGGCAATTAGACGGTGACCCGATTTCCTGCATGTGACCTTTTGAATGCCTTCTGAAGGCTGACCTGCTCACACACTGAAACCACCTCCGTTCTTTTGCAGCCTCCTCCCGGCTCAGAATGCTGCCTGAGGCCCTCCTCCAGCCGTGATGCCTGCCCTCCGCCCCCCCGCCTCCCTGCTGCTGGCGCTGCTGTGCGCGGCGGCGGCGGCGGCCGGCCGGCAGCAGTCTGACCTGTATCTGGCCTGTGTCACGCACAGCAGCTTCCTGTACTACTCGTGCAGCCGGGAGCCGCGGCCCTGCAGCGCCTCGGCCCTGACCGACGGCATCTGCACCGACGTCCGCTCCCAGCTGCACTCCGACGCCGAGATCAAAACGCTGACCGTCTGGTTCACCTCGCCGCCCAACGTCTCGCGTCTGCTCAACAACTCGGACGTGAGGCATCTGACGCTGATCCGCTGCGGCGCCGGGGGAGCCAAGGCGGCGTCCGGCCTGCCGCCGGACGAGCATTTCGCCGTGAAGCGCCTGGAGAGGCTGACGGTGATAAAGCTGCCGGAGAGGCCGTTTCCCCACTGCCCCGAAGCCAACCGGGCCTGGAACGCAGACTTAAACGCCAACTCGGACAGAGACAATGATTTCCTCTTCGACGCAGACAGATACAGCAGGGACAGGGACACCAACATGGACCTGGGCGCGGACACGAGCAGAGACGCTCTGGCCGCGTCTCAGATCCAGGACATCTTCCTGGGCAGGGAGCTGGGAGCGGCATTTCACGAGCAGGTCAGGCTGGGGATCATCCACAGCTCGGCGCTGGACTGGGGAGCAGCCCTTAAGGCCTACACAGTCCAGACACACATGGGCAGCGACGGTACTCTTCCCTTCCCCGGCCTCAAACTGTCCAAACTAGAAGACGCATCAGTCATATACGTCAGCTTTGTGTACTGATAAAAAGTCTCTGGAGAAAGATGGCGTGCACTAAAAGAAAGAAAATCTTTCTGATGATCATTTTAGCTGAAAAAGAATCCCTTAATCCTATTGAAACTGAAGATAAAACAGTTGTCAGCTGACAGTATGTTGCCTTTATAGTTATTTTACAAATACAAGCAAACATTTGGCTGGAAATAAAGTGAAAAGATAATCACTTGAAACAACTTGAATTATAAAAGTAAACTAAAGGAAATCTTTGGCATTGATCAGGGACTAATTGCCACTAATTCAGAGCTTGTTTAATCTTTTGAAGTTACTGAACTACAGTCTTTTTTAAGGATGGTAATCTGATAAGTTTTCAATTTTCCATCAGAGTGTGTTTTGTTTTCAGTGAAAAACTAAAACAAAATAAAAGTTTCACTTCATGGAGCTACTGTTGTTGTTGAACATTGTGAACGGATGCAGTGTCTGTGTGTCTGAGACCAGGATGGTGACAGAGTTAGGTTCTGCCTCTGAACTCAAACTATGAGTGCTGCTTTAGGCACCTAAATAAAGTGTTTCACACAGGACATTAGCTCCATTTCGTGACAATGAGAGAAAAATGTTTTCAGGGTTGACTTTACTTTAATCTGTCATTTGTGAGGAGCTTCAACATTTTCCCAGAGTTTTCCGAGGGCAGCATGTGGACGTTATTGATAGAGTTACTGTACTTCGCAGGAAGAGCCACTAGGTGGCAGCAGATACGTACGAGTCCAAACAGAGACACTAATGTGAGAAGTTCTGTACAAACCATCATTTGACAAAATGTCAAAAGTAAATAAAGTATACATATATATATACATATATACTTATATTTATATATGATAATACACATATATACATACATACATACATACCATACATACATACATACATACATACATACATACATACATACATACAT